TTATAAAATCATGAGGGGCATAGATAGGGGTGAATAGACAAGGTCTTTTCTCCCAGGGTTGGGGGTGGGGGGGAGTCCAAAACTAGAGGGGCATAGGTTTAAGGTGAGAGGGGGAATGATTTAAAAGGGACCTGAGGGGCGACGTTTACACCCAGAGAGTGTGTGGAAGTGGTAGGGTTCGGGTACAGTTACAACGTTTAAGAGACATTAGAACAGGGGCATGGAGAGGAAAGGTTTGGAGGGATAGGGGCCCAAGTGCAGTCGAGCAGGACTGGTTCGTTTCAGGGAACCTGGCCAGCATGGACGAGTTGGGCTGAAGGGCCCGTTTCTGTGCTGTATGACCCTAAGTCACGGCGTTTAACCCTGCGCCAAGTTTGAGAGTGGGGTGCTGGCAGGGGTGGGGTTGGGAATTAGAAAAAAAATGGTGGGGCTGCAATACCTACAACGGCCACATTGTGGAGGCATCGCTCCACCTTCGGCGCGCACCCACGGCTTAACGCCCGTTCCAGGGAGATTGGATGCAGAGTCCTGGGTCCCGGGGCACGGATGAGATATGAACGTTAATCCTCGGCACGCGATCCTGGAGCGCTCCCGCTGCCTGCAGAGTCCCGGGGAGTGAGCAGCGGCGGCCACCCTCGCGGAGTGCGCGCCTCGTCTCCCGCGCGGGATAGGACGAAAGGCTCCGGCCGAGATCGCGCGGCGGGGACGGTCGCGGCGAGAAACGAGAGGCGGCGGGCGGCGGCTTTAACCGAGCGAGCGCCGCGTACCTTCCGACTCGCCCACCCCCGGGGCCGACGCACGACAAGAAAATGTTCCGCGCTGGGGAAGGGCAGCGGATCTCCCCACCACCACCCACCCCCACCCCAAATCCCCTGACGAACAAGCAGCTGGGGTGGGTTGGGGGGGGGCGACGTTTCTCTGGCCATTGACGGTTCATAGCCAGGCACACCGCCCCCCACCCCAGCAGCCTGGGGAGGGACGAAGGCTTTAGTGGGTTTGGTGGTCCTTCGGAGTCGGGGATAGGGTCAGCTCGGGTCGGGGGGGGGTGGGGAGCCATGTGTGTCTCTTTGGTCTCGGAGGGAGGGGAGGCGACCCACACTTTCGAGCTGACCCTTATTGTGGGAGGGACTGTGGTTGTTTGGGGTGGGGGGGGGTGGTGGGGGTGGTGAGCAGGTCTTGGACTCTTTTTGATGTTAAGCCGGGGGTGGGGTGGGTAGCGGTTTGGGGAGGTAAGGCCTGGGTACCGGGCAGAGCCGCCCAAGCTGCGCTGCGGGTCTTCTGGAGAGCGTTAATGCAGGTTTGGACCCCGCGTTTTGGGGAAAAAGGTGCCCCCCCCTCACCCCGGAGCGGGTTCGGAGGAGGCTCGCAAGGACGGTCCCAAGGAATGAAGAGCTAAAGATGTGAGGAACGATTTTGAGGGCTCCGGGACTAGACTCATTGGCGTTTAGAAGGATGAAGGCGGTGGGGGGGATCTAATTGAAATGTACAGTATACTGAACGGCCTGGACAGAGCGGATGTTGGGAAGATGCTTCCATCGGTAGGAGAGTCTAGGACCCGAGGGCACAGCCTTAGAGTAAAGGGAAGACCTTTTAGAACGGAGATAAGGAGAAACTTCTTCAGCCAGAGAGTGGTGAATCTACGGAATTCACTGCCAGAGAAGGTGGCCAGGTCATTGGGTACATTTAAGACTGAGATGGATGGGTTCTGGATTGTCAAAGGGGAGAAAGCGAGCTTGAGAGACCCGTCGGCCACGATTGAAGGCGGGGCAGAACTGGGATGGGCCGAACGGCCTGACTTCCCGCTCCCGCGTCTCTCGGCGCACCACGGCAACAGCTCTACCCAACAACGCGAGGAACTGCAGAGGGATGTGAACGCAGCCCAGCGAATCACACACAAACCAGCCTTTCCTTCCACTGGGCTCCGTCTACACCTCCCCCCTGCCTCGGGACAGCGAGCGACAGCATCGGAGACCGCACTCCCCCCCTTCCCTCCCCACTCTTGTTATACTCTCTTCCATCTGGCAGAAGGCGCAAACGTTTGCATACACCGATAAATAGATCCGAGAACAGCTATCATTAGACTTCTGAATGGGCCTCTCAAAATTTCGAATCTAATGCCGATCTCGCAGTCTGTGCCCCTTCTGCGCTGCTCTAACGTTATATTCCTCGCTCTAATGCACACTGTACGATATGATCTGCCTGCACTGCACGCAAAACAAAACTTTTCACTGTACAGGGGACAGCAATGAATCAGACCGAGCTGTTCTACGTAGCCTGATGGACATTGTGGAACACGTCGGTCTGGCAGTTGGTTGAGCCCGTCTTAGCCCCTGGCGATATTCACGCCCTCACGGTCACGGGGGGGGGGGGGGGGCGGGAAAGCTGACGTTTCGGGTCAGGTAGCCCTTCCTCGCGAACGATCCTTGTTTGGAGCCTCCCCCACGGCCCAACCACCTCCTGTTCCACGAGTAACGTATAGCCACCTCCCGCCTCCTACGGTTGCCCTCCGTCCTTGGGTGGGTGGGTGGGGGGGGGGGGGAGCGGATTACGGAACCCCACCCCCGGCACATCTCCCGGCCGCGTTGGCGGCCCACCTCTTGGCTCCCCTCGGTCGCCCCGTTAGCCGGGTCCCCTCCGGGCTTTATGGCCCACCGTTTCCGACCGCGAGCGGGTGACCCCCCGCCCCCCTCCCCGCTCCCCCACCCCTTGACGGATGTGGCGATCCAGTCTGGGGCTTTTGAGGCGATCCAACCCTCTGGTAACTGTCGCCACGGGACTCCCGGCCAGGACGTGAGTGGGAATTAGCACATCTCCTGGGAGGGGGCTTGTGGGTTGGGGGGAAACTGGCGCACAGACAGCTACCAACCACACATACCTTGGCAGACAAGGTGAGGGGGGGGGTTTGGGGGGGCTCCAACCTCCCCCCCCC